GTATGAGCGGGTGCGGTTAGCACGCGTCGCTCAGTCCCGGCTGACACCACGCCTGCTTCGAGGTGCGGACGGGGGAGACGACGTCGCCTGGGGGCGGAGAGGTCCGGGAAGTGTCGAGGACGCAGTCTAGGACCGGGCGGGAGAGACGGCGGCGCCTGCGGGAGGGGCGGCGCGGCGGAGGAGGGAGGGGAGGCGTCTCGGAGGTGGTTCGGAAGAGTCTCGGAAGAGTCTCGGAAGAGTCTCGGAAGAGTCTCGGAAGAGTCTCGGAAGGCGCCGGCGAGCGAGCGCTCAAAGTGGTCGGCGGTGGTGTCAATGAACGCGTCCGCCTCCGCCTCGGAGATGAAGCGGTCAAAGGTCATCACCCACGGGCCGTGCGGTGGCCGCGAGTGCACTGTCGCGCGCAGCTCTGGCCGCTTTGCCGCCGCCTCGAACATCGCGTCGATGCCGCCCGTCTGCTTTGCGGCGGCGACGTGGCCGGCGCAGTGCGGGTTGACCCAGCCGCACGAGCCACACGAATGCTGGCACTGCGAGCGCATAAAGCCCGGGTTCTTGTCGCACTCGCCCACGCCTGCCCACTCCGCACACCGCTTGTCGCTGTCGGCGCACTCTGAGGCCGGCCGCCCACCGCCTCCTCGCATAGAACCTACAGGCCTGCCGCGCGCGATGCTGAGCAGGGAATAACAGACGATACGGAGCGGCAGCTTCTCCGCGCGGCGACGGGAAGTCATGATGGCAGCCAGAGGCGCGGAACTACGCGTCCGGTTTCTTTTTACGTGTGCAGTCCGCGCCGTCCGCGCCCTGGCGAGTAGAGGCCCCGCCCACCCAGGGTACCCCTCCGAGGGACCCATTGGGTTGCTCTCTCGAGGGCTCGCCGGGGCTCTGCTCCAAGAGACCTCGAGAGTGCGTGCGTGTGCCTCTACTCGCCAGGCGTGACTCTGTGCGATTTCGGGCCCGGGGTTGTGCGTTTACGTGGCGTGAAAATTGATGGGCTTGCCCATCCCGGAGTGGTTCGACTCCACACAAATCACAAAACAATACGTGTGAGTGTTAGAGTTGTTTGGTATTGCTAAAAATCTCTCTCTCACAAATCAAGAGAGAAGAGTCTCTCACAAATCCGAGACGGTGATGGGTGCGTCGTGTGATGGTCTCAGGCCCAGTGAGGTAGTGCATCTGACTATCCCGGATCCTGCTGAACAAGCTCCTCTTGTAGCTCGATCGGTCACACCGCCATCGCCGTCGGGGAGAGGGGGGACGGCACTGCTTCGGCAGC